AATTAAAATGAATAATTTGGCATGCAGCCTTCACTTTTTCTGTCATATTGCATAATTAAAATGACATAGTAAAATAAAATGCTTTTGGCAATAATAGTTAGACAATAAGAACAAAATGCTGTTCATCCCTTTATTTGCCAATACATAGTTCTATTAACTCTTCTGTATGAGATGACTTCAAAAGTTTGAAGAAATAAATGGAATGAAATGATAATGAAATTTCCCCACAAACTTTCTGGAGGCCCCGTACATATGAACTTCCAAGACAGCATTTCTATTGACCCTATTTTTCCAGCTTCCTGCTTGGTCAGCTATCATAGTCAGCTTGCCCTTGAACTCTATTTACAATGAACAGAGAAACATCCATTGCCCAAGAATTAAGTCATTCTCATTTTGACATTCTAGATGGGAAATACATCGAGTATTATTTTTAGAACTTTCAAACGCTTCTTCTTTAAAAACCGACAAGCACTTGCCTTCGTCTCCATCATCTCCAAAAGGGTAGAAGAGGGCAACAGCTAAATTGATGAACACGGCCAGGTTGAAGGAGATGCTCCCCCAGAGGGAGATGTGTCTTGAGAACCAGAAGAGGGCAGGGTTATCTAGAAGCAAGCAGCCCAGAAAACAGAAGGGAAAATGACATCTTGACTTCCACACGCAAGCCCTCCAGAAATAATACACACATTTTGGTTAGTTGTAAAAGCATATGTAAGTGAACTTCGATTACGCTTGATTTCAGAAAGCTTATTAAAATAATCAGGCTCACAAGACAGTTTTCCATCTGGTAACCATCCTAGAAGGGAGGGTAATTTTTCAATGCTGAATGTGGTCAGAAAAGGTGGTTCCATAATAATTCTCTCTAATCTCTCCCTAGAGAAGATTAAGAGAAAGATAGCTTAGCCTTTGCCTGAGGCCCCTTTTTTAATGTAGCAGCATAGAGCCTTGCAGAACTGGGTAAAATTGATAAATTGGTCCCATTGCCACACGGCAAAGTGAAGTAGAAGATGACAATCATATACCAGCATTTTCATCTCCCATGAAAAACCATGTGACATGGTCACAGTTGTCTGAAATTCTAAAACTAAATAGCCTGGAAGAAGACGTGTACCGGGAACTAGTGATTTATAGTATTACCTAAATTTTAAACCTTCATGCCTCCTAAGAATTTGCTGGACTTAAAACAGAAGAAGCAAAGGACAGATGCAAGAAGAACTGCCAATAAATGGAAGAGGCCTTGCTGAGCATTTTCAGAAAAGGGATGCTGTGTTTGTCATCAGGAGAGAATTGGCAGGTGTATCCCCTGAACACAGTTTATAGGAACAGAAAACGACTTTTTCCACCTCTCCTAAATAGTTGAACAACTATGTAAGGAATGTCGGTTTGGATGGGAGAGAAACACGTTAGCTGACCCTGGACAGGGTCAGGCCCTGTCTATTCTCCAGCTCTTAATATCTTAATACCAGGAGTAAAATGTTGGATTGAATGGAGCGGGCGAGGCACACCAATGTTCTAGGAGAAATTATCAATGTTTAGATTTCTTTCATGGGAATGGTGACCTTTAATTACAAACTGCACTCCGCCTCAATATATCTTGTTTTCCTTCTCTCTAGAACAGTCGTTCTTGACCTGTGGGTCGCGACTCCTTTGGGGGTCCAACGACCTTTCCCAGGGGTCGCCTGATTCATAACAGTAGCAAAATGACAGTGATAAAGTAGCAACGAAAATAACTTTATGGCTGGGGGGTCACCACCACATGAGGAGCTGAATGAAAGGGTCACGGCATGAGGAAGGCTGAGGACCACTGCTCTAGAATGCGATATTCTCAAACTGGCCTCTGGACCTCAGAGGTATGATTAGAAACATTGAAGGAATGCTCTTCCTTAATAAAATAAATGTAAATGGGTCTTGAATTTCTAGAAAACTAGAAGAATGAAACATTGTCAAACAGAGGTATTCAGAACATATAGCAAATCTGCTTGTGTGGACACCTCTCCAAAAGACAAAAGAGACCCATTCTTTTGATTGCAGCGATGAAAAGACAGCCCTTTCCCGAGAAAACAGACTGAAATGAAATATGTAAACTCTGTTTTCCCACACAAATTTAAGTTTGTGCCAGAGATATAAGTACAGGCCTGCTTCCCTTTACTGCACTTCTCTTGATCACACTTCACAGTTAGTGCACTTTTGACACATGTTAGGTTGGTAGCAACTTGTGTCGAGAAGGTCTATCAGTGCCATTTCTCAACAGTAGCTCCTCGCTCAGGATCTCTGTGACACGACATTTCAAATACGTCATCATGCTGTTGCACACTGAGAACACTGCACCAGAGCACAAACATAGCTTTCAAATGGGAAACTGAAGGGGAAAAAAGTGACTTGCTTTATTGCAATGTTCACTTTTTTTTTTGGCAGTGATCTGGAACCAAACCCACAATATCTCCGAGGGATGCCCGGAATGACGATTCTGTTCATTTTAACTATAAAATTATAATTCTGTTGTATTTTAACCGTAAGTGTACCCCGGTTTTTAATCTGTTTGATTTAAGGAGCTAACGATATGCTCAAAGAAACAATGCGTCTGACAAAAGTTCAACAATCTGCTCGGTCACAGGACCAGGCAGGCAGCGCAGGCTGACTCGGGTATCTGCAGCCAGTCCCCCGACTGTGGCTTCCACTCAGGGCCGACGACGCAGGGACTTCAACCGGCAGCTGTGCCTCCTCTCCTTCACCAGCGGAAACATACAGCTGCAAGCCTGCACTTCATAATATTTACAGATCTGTAGGATCATCACTAAAAGATGATCTAATTAGTCGGCGGTTTCTGTTTTCATTAAGCTGCAGGTGTCTCGGCTCAAGCTGTAGACTGAGCTTACAGTCTTGAGCCTAGCCAGTGATTCCTCTAAAGTCGGGCTGGCAAGGAATTAAAAACAATTTAAGCGATTGTCAACTGCTGTCATGTGTACCGAAGTATCAATTACTCTAGCACTGCGCACAACACTACCCATTTCAGTTCCTGGTCCGCTCTAGTACTTACTCCTGATTTTCCTCTGCCATTTCATCTCATTGTAGAGGTCTTCTGCTTGCTGGAAAAAGTCATTCACCTTGCTCCCCTGTTCATCCCTCTCCGTGGTGTTGAACACACGGCACTTGGACTCCCGAGTGAGGTATTCGCATATGTTAGGCACGGGAAAAACGATTTGCTCCATGGTCCTGTCATGACGAACAATCTGAAAATATTAATTTGTATTTAGTTCAGTTTGAGGGACACAAATTAGCCTATCAGGCTATTTCTTGTTTTCAACTTGTTTATCAGTGAGAGGTTATTAATACAGTGATGGAGAAAATGTGCCAGCTTAAAATAGTGTTTATTGTCCACTTTAATTAATATCATTGGCTCTTTAATTGGAGCCTTGGTGGTGGTCGTGTTACACATGGGGCTGCGATCTGCAAGGTCATCGGTTCAAAACTACCAACCACTCCTTGGGAGGAAGACAGTGCTTTCTATTCCCAGAAACCATTTCAGCCTCAGAAACTCGCAGGCACAATGCTACCTCATCCTAACAGGGTCGCTATGAGTCAGTATTTCCTTGATGGCAGTGCATTTTGTTTTGTCTCTTTAATTAATTAATTTAGGTCTTTTAAATTAAGACCATTATCAGTTTTTGTTGAAGGTGTCAGAATACAACTTGCTCCATAAGGTTTACAATGGCTAATTTTTCAGAGGTGGGTTGCCACATCTTTCTGCCAAGTGCCTTCTGAGAAGGACTCAAACCTTTGGATGACTACTAAGAATGCTAGCTGTTTGTAACAACCAGGGACCCAAATGAATACTATACTTTATCACGAAAAACAAATACCAGGATCTCTCATTTTGCCAAATCAGCATTATACTTTTTCCACTCATTATTATTTTCATGAAAGTATACCAGAAATGAAGAAATTGTTAACTGGAAGTCATCTTCAGTGTACCACTAGAATATCTTAACATGTACCTTGTTCCTAGCTCATTCTTCCTAAACACTCATTATTGGACAGCAAATCATGTATTTAGCATAGTGTACTCTGGGTTCCACAGGGAAAGGTTCTTTAATCATCAAAATGTTTTCTTAATTTTAGTAGGTACCAAACCAAAACACCAAACTCACTGCCGTGGAGTTGATACTGATAGATAGGGACCATGTAGGAAGGGTAAATACGCCGCTGTAGGTTTCTGATGTTGTAACTATATCAAAAAAATAGCACTCTCTCTCTCCCATTGGTAGGTACATCATCAATTAGAATATATACCGATATGTAAAAATTCATTGCTTGATATCTCAGTTATTTCATATCTGTGATGGGTTAAATTTAGACATAACGTAGGCTGCACATGTTTAAGTGGTTCCACTAAACCTCAATAAATCACATCTATTTCACGCAGACATATTTAAATCCCGTGTAAACAAATCTAAGGAATCCGACTGGTCTAATCCAGGGAGTATTTCTATTTCTGCTTGCCGCTGGCTGCTTGGTGGTGGGGATTCGACTAATTCTTGAAAACGCGTCTTAAGGAGAACGACCCTGGAGGGCTTCTTGGAAGCATTCTGCTTCCTGGTAAAGCAGAGAGCTGAACGAGAAACACGAAATGGCAGTAAGCCCCAAACATACAATGAGAATTGCTCTGTACATGATCTTCCTCTCATACCTGGAATATTGGTGCATATTCCAATAGGAGCATGTTCTAAACTAGAAGGAAGGATGAAAAGGTGAGCATGCTTTACACAATTGATGTGCGTATGGATTGTGATAAGAGTTGTATGAGCCCCTAATAAAATGATTTAATAATAAAAATTTTTTTAAAAAGGTGAGCATGTTTGATGACATCAGAGAATCATTTGATCAATTATTGACCTATCAATCAAATAGAATACATCTGTGGAAAGAGACAATGAAGAAGCCTACCATCGGTTACAACAAGGCCAGGATGGCCACAGAACGGACCATCAATTGTTCATATGCAAGTTCATGTTGATGCTAAAGGAAATTAAAACGAGTCCTCAAGATCCAAAGTACAGCCTTGAGTATCCAACCCAAATTTAGAGACTAATTCAAAAATAGATTTGATGCTTTGTACACTAGTGATTAAAGATCAGATGACATCATGGACATCATACATGAATGAACCAAACAGTCATTAAAAATACAGCAAAGGAAATAAAGACCAAAGCGGATGTCAGAAGAGACTCTGAAACTTGCTGTTGAAGTGTGAGAATCTAAAGCAAAAGGGAAAATGATGATGTAAGAGATATAAAAAGAACATTTCAAAGGGAGGATAGGGAAGACACAGTAAAGTATTATAATGGAAAATGCTAAAGTAGGGAGACAGACTTTGAAAAGAGAAGAAAACGCTAGACATTTCTTAAGCTGGAAAACCAAGAAAAAATTCAAGCCTTGAGTTGAAATACTGAAGGATTCTATGAGCAAAATATTGAACAATGCAGAAGCATCTAAAGAACAGTCGTCAAAACAGCCTTGTACTGCAGAATGACAGATACACAAACCAATGGATCAGGACAGAAAACACAGAAAGAAAAACATCTGCATAAAGACTCTTGATTTTTGACACAGGCCCAATGGGAAGAAGATGCCCTCTTTAATAAATCATGCTGTAAAAACTGAATAATATTCACTGCAGCAGAATGAAACAAAACCCATATCTCATCTCAAGCACAAAAACAAACTTAAAGTGGATCAAAGACTTAATGTAAAACCTAAAGCTATGAGGAGCATCAATGAGAAAATTGGGACAAATCTAAGTGTCTTAGTACAGGGCATACATGGGCTCTCAGATATAGCGAAGGACGCACACTCCATGGAAGACAAAATAGATGAATGGGACCTATTAAAAATAAAACACTTGTGTACATCGAAAGATTTCATTAAAAGAGTAAAATGAGAGCCCGCCGAGTGGGAAAAGATATTGAGCAACAACATAATGGACAAAGGACTAATTACTAAGATCTAGAATGTAGCACAAGCCTACAAGAAGAAAACTAACAACCCTCTAAGAAGGTGGGCAGAGGACCCAAACAGATGATTGCCAAAAGCTAACACCTGAATGGCCAATAGACACATGAGGAAATGCTCTCATCCACTAGCGATGGAGAAATGTAAGTCAAAACAACCATGAGATACTATCTAATATTCATAACCATAGTCCAAATTAAAAAAAAACACCCGAGAACAACAAATTCTGGAGAGGATGTAGAGAGATTGAAACTCTTATTCACTGCTGGTGGGATTGTAAATGCATACAGCCACTTTGGAAAGCGGTATGGCGATTCCTAAAACAGATGGCAATAGAAATACCAGATGATCCAGCAATACCATTACTGGGCATAAACCCCCCCCAAAAATAAGAAATAAATCTTGTTTGCTCCCCCAGTCATTCACTGCAACAAAATTCACAATAGCAAGAAGTTGAAATTAGCCTAAATTCCCATTAGGAGAAGATTGGATTTTTAAAACCCTGGTATATATACACAATGGAATACTACGCATCCCTGAAAAACAGTGATGAAACCATGAAACATCTCATGACGTGGGATCTGGAAAACATGATGCTGAGTGAAGCCAGTCAAGCACAAAAGGACAAGTGCTGTCTGAGTCCACCGCTGGGGGAGCAAGCAGCAGGATGGCAGAAGCTCAGGCTTGCAGGGCAGCCAGTCTGCTGGCCAGGGGGCCCGACAGCCTGGTGGAGAGCCTGCCTGTGCCAATGGACCACACACCATCTTCTCTAGGGGTGTCTCTCGAATGTCACTTTGACAGGGAGTTCCTCACGTCAGCTGGGATCAAATTGTTAATGGAGGGGGAGGGGATGTTGTCTACTGAGTGACTGCCATGCAAAGCTATGATGAGGTTCCCCTGGATGGGTAGACAGCCCTATCAGAAGGATGAGGGATACTGATGGGAAAGTCAAGTCAGGAGAAGGAAAAGGGAGTAGACACACATGGGGAAACACAAATGCATGACGTTAGGAAGGCAAAGTGGGAAGGCTGACCTCTAGGTGGGGGAAGAATGACTGAAAATGCTTTTGGAGGGCCTGGGGGGCCGGGAGTGCTCCTGGTGGTTTGCACCGGATAGGCCAATTTGGCCCAAGTTTCTGGGCACATCCTGGGGACCCAGGCAGAGTGCCATGAAATGCTGGGGCATTGAATGCTGGATCTTCAGAGAGCACGACACGCTCCAGAGGCTGCCCCAGTGAGACCTGATGCGGAAACTCCACTGGGTGAACAGGACTCTACCTCAGACACACTGGTCACCTGAGGACTTAAGACTGCAAAGACATGGTTGTTTGAGGAACCAGAAGACTGTTGAACTGTAGGCAGGCAGGCAATCATGGACTTACTATATCAAGGCCCTATGTGCTGAATTAAGATATACATTGGTCCAGCAACCTGTGACTGATATTCTCAATGAATATTATTGTAAATTTTTCCTGACAGCCAACTCCCATTGTTTGTATAAATAGTGTCCGTACATAAAATGCTTGATCCTGTATAAGTAAATAATTTGGGTGCTACAATACGGAGTTAGCCTGCATTGGCCCAATAGCCCTCCTTCAACAGGGCTTTAAAAAAGTAGTCCTGTGGGCCAATCAATGACAATATTAATGGAAGATCTTTATGCCCTAGGGAGATGATTGATAAAATTCCCTACCACAAATTAACAGGGAGGTTTTGAAAGGGAGCCAAAGGCATATAAAAATATATAGATCCAGGAATGGGTTGGGGGCTCACATTAAATCCTAGTTCCAATTTAAGAACAATTAGTTCTTACATAATGACTCTCCTCAATATGCCCTAAGGAAGGAAACAGAAGAAATGGATGCTATAGCAAAGTGTGGTGAAGAAATTAGATGGTACCTGGCAATCAGATGGTACCTGGCAATCTGGAGTATTAAAGGCTTGTATCCAAACACAAGCAGCCATCTAAGTGAGATGTCAACTATGCCCACATGGAAGAAGCACTCCAACATCGTGATGGATGGCTCATAAATCACATAATCTGAAGCCAAAGGAGGGAACAGTATCAGAGCCAAAAGTGTGAAAATCTGGTTTGCAGAAGGCTACAGTTAACAGTGGGAGCCCAAGATACATTTGTGAGATCTACATAGGAAATAAGCCCCCTGTGATTTCCCTCTACTCACATTAAAGGGATGGGAAGAAACTGGTTACCAAACAGTGCA